CACACACACACACACACACACACACACACACACACACACACACACACCTCGGCAGCTTCTTTCTCAAACTTCTCGATGGTCCTCTTGTCGATGCCTCCACACTTGTAGATGAGGTGTCCCGTGGTGGTGGACTTGCCGGAGTCGACGTGGCCGATCACCACGATGTTGATGTGGAGTTTCTCCTTCCCCATGGTGAACCGGAGCCGGTCTGTCAAGCTTCAACCGGTGTTAAGTTACAAAGTTAGTACAGCGGACACACACACACCCCCTTTAAGCTTTAAGCATGAGTTATCGTGGGAGGGTAGGGTTATGACAGCCTGTTACTAGTGTTCTGTAATTTAACACTGAGCAAATGCAACACACGAGTAGAGCTGAAGACTGCAGCAGAAGAGAGGAGTCTGTTTTCATGAGTTCACCAGACCTTTAAGCAGCTGAAAGTGATGTCTGTTCACTCTTCTTAAACAGAGTGTCACAACACTAAAGCATCAATGGAGCTGAAGTGAGCCAAGTCACCAAAACCCTCCCCCCGCTCTACATCCATCATCCATCATCCAATATCCAGCCTCCTCCCCCTCCCCCTCCTCATCATCACAACAATAACAAGCCTCTAATGTTTGGCAGCACCGTCCTTCTTTTTCAGGACTTCACTACAGCCTCACTTCTTCAAGCCACAATCCACCATTTTGTCAGGTCCCCATCCACCGACGGTGCAGCAGCCATTTCTCAGACACTGCACGCGCACACGCACACGCAGAGGAAAGTAAACAGACTGTGGTTAACTCTGCAGGAGTGTTATGGTGACATCTTTGAATGCAACACCAAAGTGCTCTTCTAAATAAGAGGATTTGTGTGATCTGAGCTGCACAGGTAGATTTGAATCCCGCTGGGACATGATCTCCGTCAGACCTGTCCAGGTGAACTCGGATAACATTTGCACGCGCGCATTTTAACTCTTCCTTCACGTGTAACGTCACCGGAGAGCTGCCGCAGTGCGCTTTACATGTGCAAATAAAAAGAGAGAACACGTTAAAACAAACTAAATCATCATCATCAGGTAGTGCGATGAATGAAGCGGGTGTTAGGGTTCAGCAGAACACGTCAGCGCTCCTCCGCCATGTTCTCATCGGTCTGGATGCGTATTAAGTGGCAGCCGCGTGCATCACAACAACAATCCCAAAAAACAGCCGCTGCACAAAACACGCATTTTGTTTTCCTGATACAAAATGCGTAACCCGTATCCCCCCCCCCCTCCTCAATGCATAATGTCTCGTACCTGAGGACGAGGCCGGTGTCAGTTCGGGTTCAGGACCGGAGCCGCTGAGGAGAGACGCTGATCCGGTTATAGCGCACAGGACGGGGGGGGGGGGGTATTGCGTAATTGTGCCGATGTAGCTCACAGCATCCCAACGAGGGACCGGGAGAAGTTACCGGGAAACGGGTTTATCACGGGACACGAGGATGAACTAAAGAGAACCGACATGACAGATCGTAGATGTGACACATTTATAATTTATTTATGTTTAATTCATTTGTGACACTTTTTGACTAAAGGCTGTTTTTGACAACATAAACAAAGACTCGACACATAACTTAAGATCAGTGCTTTGTTGTTCTATTGACATTAGTTATATATATATATATATATATATATATATATATATATACCAATCCTCTCGGATACTTTTCTATAATATAATTTATAAATAAAATATAATATATATATGCGCTAGTGTTTGTACTGTAAGTTTCCGTTCCGGTTGTGTTCAGAGACGCTTCTTTTAAACCAGGTGGACACGTGGAGCGAGCAGCGAGCGTCACGCGCAGCAGGTGCAGCGCTCACCTTTACCAGACGCTCCGTAGTCGGATTAAAATGACCCGTCTGTCTGCCCAATCATCACGAGACGCAGGGATATTATATTTGTTTCCATACGTTAGAAGCTATATGCTGCATTTTGACTGAGGAGGCGAGAGAGGGGGGGGGGGTTCATGGCATCACATGATGAACCTGGACATTGTAATTCATCGGAGAAGTCATATTAATGTGATCACTGTGAGGCGATTTTATAACAAAATGTACTTCTATTCTACATAATCTTTGGAAAAAGCCATTCAATTAAAAGGACTAACTTATTTGTTGTGGCATTTATTTTCGTCATATACAGATCTGCAATGATGGGTAATGGTCATGTGACTAGTGAGCGAGCGAGTGTGTGTGTAGTAAATATAACGTGCACTAGGGCCGGTCATTACACAGAACATTATTTATTTTCCCATCATCACTTCATAAATGAGGAGCTAATAGTGCGTGTGGTTTAGTATATTTGAGGTAATTCATATTAAAGAGTTTATCAACATGCTGGTTAATTAGATCTCATCATTAGATTAACGTCCCGTTAGTTAGTTAGTTAGGTGAGACGTAGAATGAAATAACAACACAACACAATATGAGATTTGAGCATTGTTGTATATGATGAAGTATTTACAGTAAATGATTTAAGACATTTTTCTGAAGTTTACAAGAATCATAAAAAGTCCCTTTTGTTTCTGTATATAATGTTCAAATGAAATAAACAGCAGTAACTAGATGAACTGACCCTGTTTGAGCTCATAAGTATTAAGTATAAGGCGGAGCTTCTTAAATCCAGATGATGATGATGATGATGATTACATATACTAAATGTTTCCCTTCTGTAGTCATGAAGTATAAAGGTACATACAGTATTATATACATGTGTACAGACTTTATGGAGAAAAAACACATCTGATCACATTAATAAAAACAAAGAATGACGTATTTTGAGTTTTTGGAGAATTGTGCTGTTTGAAATCATCTTCAAATTAAAAAGGTAAACAAAGAGAAGATACCTGAGAACGTTTAAATCCTGCGAGTCCACCAGGAACCAGCGCTTCTTCTTAGTGTTGCACAATAACAACAAGAAACGTTTGAACATGAACATGAACTGAAAGAGAAGCCTGCTAGACAAACCTAAGACATACTTATTGTGCACATAAAATCCCACCAATACGGCACCACATGAGAAGTAAACACAAAGAAACAAAGAGCTGAACAATGATTGTAAAGAGGATTCACTTTAAGGCATTTCACCCCAAACGGGTTTGTGCGTTCCGTCCTCTTCAAGAGCGATGTCATCAAATGTGAGCGCCGGGTTTGGGAGGACGTTACATCATCTTTAAAAGACTAAACTCATCCCAAACTTTACAGGAGTGAAAGAGTTTATAGACTTTTACTTTGGCGAGAACTCAAAGAGTTCTGAGGTGAATGCAGATGTTTTAGAAGCAGACGTTCTCTGGAGGCAGAAATAACAGTTGAGCTCAGCGAGTAACTGTGTGTGTGAACCACAGACTGTCTGCGCTATAAACAAGAACTCTGTTGTTGTATTTACGCCGACATGACGTTATTTGAGTCTTAATGGAGCTGCTACATTGTTAGCGTAGCATAGCACCGATGGATCCAGAAAACAAGTTTTAAACGTTGTTTGTCGTCTTGTGAAGAGAACGAACAAAACATGAAGTCAGACTTTTTAAAATCTGCATCATTATGTCGTTATTTCAGCATCTTTTTTATCAGTTTATTGCAATTAAATCGCAATAAAATGAGTTTATTTTGGGGTCATACAGCTGTAGTGAACCAGTCGACGAGCGTTTGGTGTGAAAACTATAACAATATTAAATCTGTAATACTTTTGAAAGTGTTGCATTGAATGTAGATGTATTGTGGAATATGTTCCAGTAAAATAATGAATTAGAGATTTCACCAAAAAGCCTTCATATTAAATATTACCAGAGATTAATGAAGCTGATTGGTTTGGTTTAAGTCACGGTGGGCTCAACGTTTTCACTTCATGATTCATATTTATGTGACATTTCATTTGAGGATGATTTTCATTAAAGTTACAACAAAGAACTTGAATTGTCCGTTTAGAAAAGCTCTCATTTTACTGCAGCACGTGTCCGACAGTCGGACATGTTTCTCAGTTATTTAAAACGATCAAACTGAATGAAGACTTCTGAAGATCGTAAACAGAGAGAAAGAAGCTTCATCAGTCGTCTCTGAACACCACTAAGGAGCTACGTTGTTTTTTACATTCGTGTTTCACAGCTCACTCAACATGGAGTTAAATCTAAAAGGTTTAAATAACCTGCAGCTTATATTCCCTTTATTTCCAGCAGAGTAATAAACTTCCTCTGTGATTGTTTGCTCTGTTCAATTATTATTTTTGCCTCAAAGAAATATTGCTTAAAAATAAAACGAAGCTTTGTCTTTTACTGCGATTGCAGGTTCCTCAGTCGCAGTAAGAGGAACGTCCTCGAGGGTTCTAATGGCCGTTACTCACTGTGAGCATCAACAGCACAGCTGGAGCCACATCTCTCCGATTACCTGTTGAATAGTAATAATAACAGTGAGACCTCGTCCCGTCCTCGTCCTCAGTCTCCGTGGGAGTAGGAGGCGTGGACGGCCCACGGCTGCACGGTTCCTCGTCCGAACAGAGTGTAGAACGCCGCTCCGAACACGTTGATGGCGGCGGCGATGTAGAACACGCTCTGCCACTCGTCGATGGTGTTCTGAGGAACAATCGGATCAGTTCAGGAGCGTTGGATCGGTTAAAGGTAGGAACACATCTGTACGGTCAACATTTAACAATTTGTTCCTCTAAACGTCTTTTCCAGTGAAACGATTTTTAAAAGAGGAAATAACTTGTCTTTGTGCCAAATTACACTCAGACAGTTCTCACCATCGCGTCCCAGAGATCTGAATATAATGATGATTTCTGTTTGTTTGACGTTTCAATCATTTAAAGATAATGTCGTTGGTTGATTGGCTTGTTAAATCTTAACTTTGTTGCCATTGTTGATGAAAGTTACACAGAAACGGGTAACAAGGTCAGTTTATCGGCTTCCATCAAACTGTTGATAAAGGAGCACAGACGCCCCCTGGTGGCCAAAGGCTAACGACACTAATCCTGTTCTGTTAAACCAGTTAAAACAGGAAACGGATCTTCAAAATAAGAGATTATCTGTTGAATGAGGACCACTGGAGGGACCTCTGTTAGTATAAAGATACTAGAAACATGATCACAGTGTGTGTGCTGTTCATGCGTTTATTCATATTATTTTACACCTTCACTGAGTTATAACTGCCAAATATTCATACATTTTAACCCTTTAAATAACCCTTTAAATAACAGTTTGTTTACATAATAGAAGTCTGTTATTATGAAATGAATATATATTTTTCAGTCTGAATTATGCCAATGATTAACAGCAACATTGATTTTTAAGCATTTCTATTTTTTGTGTCAGATTTAAAAGAAGCTTCTTAAAACGACAAATCTGAGGGAAAATAGTAAAAACTGTAAATTGAAGCCGCTTCTCTAGATTGAAGGTCTGATATAATAGATTGTTGGATTAAATATTATAATTGGATCAGAAACTGTGGTTTTAATGGGTTTAAGGGTCCGAGTGTTTATTACAGACTTATTATAGGAGCTGACTTTTAACTTCCCAAACTTAAAAAGCCAGAAATGTCCCCAGTGACTCATAAGGGTGAAGGAATGAGGCCCACCGTACAGATGTGATGATAAAGTGAGACTGTGCGTTAGCGTCTTACTTGTTTGGTGAGCGCTGTGGCTATGACCGGTCCCACCATGCCGGGAATGGTGGCAAAGGTGTTGGTGATTCCCAGCAGGATACCAGCATACCTGCAAACGTATTAAAGGACATTTAACGTTACAAGTCCGGAGTAATGACTCACCTGCTGACACCTGGAGGAGAATCTGAACATCTGTATCGTCACCGAGTATCAGAGTTCTGATGTTTGCTGCCACACTGAAGATGTACTCTCTCAGGATGTATAGTTATGGATAGAAATCATCAGGAAGATTACTCATTTCATTATTGATAAATACTCTTACATTTGGAAGCTAGAATTGTGATCTCGGGACGCAGGCCGCGTCTCTACATCACTACGTTTACAGTCGGAGGATGTTCTGGTGATGGAACTTACGAAGGAGCGATGTCCAGGTGGTTGATGTTGAAGCCGGAGGCCGACACTCCGCCCAGAGCCGAGGAGATGGTGAGGAAGGTCACGGCCAGCGTGTAGTTACAGCCGGTATAACCCACCGCCACCAGGAACACCGCCGGGCCGAGCATACCTGCAGACAACACGCAGGGAGTAGTCGACACGTCGTGTCTGGAGTCAGTTTCATACATCACGATGATGATGATGATGATGATGACAACAACAACAACAACAACTTTATTTATAGAGCATCTTTAAAAACAGAGCTTACAATAAAATTTTAATTCTGGTAAAACAGTATAATAGATGAGACAATAAAACCAATCGATACGATATTTATTAAAAATAAATGAAACAATAAGAATAAATAATAAATTATAAATAATAATTTAAATAAATACAAGAAAATAATAATTTAAATAAATACAAGAAAATAATTAAATTTAAAAAAATAAAAATAAAACAAAACTAAATGAACTAAACTAAAATAAGAGGACAGATGAATCCGTACCGACGACGGAGAAGCACTTCCTGACGGTGACGGTGCGGTAGAGGCAGGTTTCTCTCAGGTAATCGGCGAGCTGACCGCTCACAACAGCAAACACGGCGCAGCCAACGTAAGGAAGAGCGGAGAGCAAACCATTCTGTGGTGGACGGGGGGGGGACAATAGCACAGGAATACTTTAATGAATACATAACAAACATGTTTTACTCTACTGTACATACTTGATTACATTTTTACCCATCAGTGTTCCTCAGCTCCTCTGATGAACCAACGGCTGTACGAGATGTTGAGCTCACCTGCTGGATGCTGAATCCCAGCACGTCGTTCATGTAAGTGGGCAGCAGGGTGAGGAGGGTGTAGAAGGTCCAGTTGTAGGAGAAGTGAGCCACCACGATGGCCCACAGCGGTCTGGAGGACACGATGGCTCTCCAGGGGATGTGACCCGCTGAGGTGGAGAGCTGGGAAACAGGAGGTAGAAAAGAAACAGACTCGACTGAGGGTTAACTCCTCTGGTTGTATAGAAGTCTATGAGAAAATGACTCTACTTC